AATTAGATAAATGGCAATGCGATGTTTTGGATATAATTGACAACGATCAATCAGCGTTGGTTTGTTGTCCAACATCATCTGGAAAAACGTTTATTTCTTTTTATGCTATGGAAAAAGTTTTACGTGAGGATGATGATGGTAATATTGCTTTATATTGTAATTATCATTAAAACTATAATAATTACTGTATCATTAATATTAAAATCATTTTACAATAGGAATCTTAGTATATGTTTCTCCCACAAAAGCTCTTGTAAATCAGGTCACAGCAGAAGTATATGGCCGATTTGAAAAAAATTATGCGAAGGGTGGCAAAACTGTTTGGGGAATAAGGACAAGGTGCTTATTCATACTTAATATTTTTTTTTTTACTTGTAATTATGTTAAAAATTTCACACACATATATTTTTTTTTCTAGGGAATATAATGAAAATCATGACAAGTGCCAAATTTTAGTTACAGTTCCGGAAATGTTAGAAATTTTGTTATTATCGCCATCCAATGTCAAATGGGTTTCAAGAATTCGTCGTATTATACTTGACGAAGTACATTGTATAGGCGAAATGGATGGTGGCAGTACTTGGGAATCCTTATTACTTCTTGCGCAATGTCCAATATTAGCCCTCTCTGCTACGATTGGAAACCCTGAACCACTTAGTAGATGGATTGAAAAAATTCAAACCACTCGTGGATATGAAACGAAATTGATTAAAACCACAAAGAGATTTTCTGATCTTCAAAAATATGTTTTCATTCCAAAATTTCCTTTACTTCCTTTAATTGAAACTACTGTTAAACCAAAAGAAGAATTACGTCAAGATTGTTTGATATCAATTCACCCATTTTCAGCAATATCTTCAGTGGTTATCGCTGAAAGTGGAATTCCTGCTGATTTAAAGTTATTACCATCTCATTGTATTGAACTTTGGGATGCAATGAATCGAGTTCATGAAAATGATCCTGATCTTCAAAAAATTAATCCAGATAAATATTTCAAAGATATTGGATATATTGTAAAAGATAATGCGGACAAATTTGAAACAGATATTAAGGAATTGTTTATATCTTGGACTAAGAATAAACCACAAATGGCTAAAACGGTAATCGAGAATCTTGGTGATGATATCAAGAAAAGATTTGATAAGTTAGAGTCTACTGCTAAAATAGATAATGAAAAATTGGATATTTATGATGAGAGTTTTTTTAAAATAGCAATTATTCCTTTGCTGTGTGAACTTTCTGCTCAAGATAAATTACCAGCTATATTATTTAACTTTGATCGTAATAATTGCACTCATTTGGCAATCCATATATTAGAGGAATTAGAGTCTGCTGAGAAACAAAAAAAAAGCAATGATCCCACATTTGAGGTATTATTATATGTATAAATTGACTCTTTATATACATATCCATGTTAACTTCTTTTAACTAAATTAAACAGGCAAAATTAAAAGACGCTATTGCACAAAAAGAAAAGTATGAAAAAGAACTTAAACAAAAGAGAGATGCTAAAAAAAGAAAAGATGATGATGATAAACTAGAACTTCCTATGCCGGATATCTTTGATTGGGAAGCACACGATCCAGATTTCACCTTTGTGAATCCCAAATATCGAATGCCCTCTGATGAATTTCAAGAGTTAATTAATACATTCAAACATAAAATGACCGGACCATTATCTAAACTTCTTGACGCATTAGAAAGAGGTGTTAAATAATATATTTATTAAAAATGTTAAAATGGTACAATACATAATTTATCTAAAAAAAAAAATATTTATTTATATATTAGGAATCGGTGTTCATCATGCGGGTCTTCCAAAGAAATATCTTGGTGCTGTTGAGATCCTGTTTCGAAAACGACATCTAAGTGTCGTAATTGCAACTGGTACTTTGGCCTTAGGAATCAATATGGTATTGCTTGTTTTAAAGTTTAATGTAGCGTGAACTATTTTACATTTTAAATTCACATATACTTACTGTAAATATATTTTTATGATAGCCATGTCGTACTACAGTATTCGTTGGTGATTCTACATATTTAACACCCCTTCAATATCGTCAAATGTAAGTTTGAATTCTAAACCTATCTTAAATGATGAATACATGAATATTACACATATATATATTATGGATATATTTTTTCATCATAGGTCAGGAAGAAGTGGACGCCGAGGTTATGATCCAATAGGACATGTAGTATTCTTTGGAATAACTTTAACCAAAATTAAAAGGCTTTTAACGTCAGCATTGCCAGCTATAAGTGGACATTTTCCATTGACAACCAGTCTTGTGTTGAGAATGTTTATATTACTTAATAATTCTGAAGACAAAGATTATTCCGAAAAAGCAGTTTCAGGATTATTTGGGGATTCATTCTTTTGTCTTGGGAAAGAACATTTGTCAGGACAAATCAAACATCATCTTAGATTTTCTATTGAGTATTTAAGACGTGAAAATATATTAGACGAAAAAGGAGATCCAATAAATCTTTCTGGAATGATTTCACACCTTTATTATACAGAACCAAGTAATTTTGCAATGGCAGCTTTATTTAAACATGGTGTATTTCACAAAATTTGTTCAGAAATTAAAACAAATCCAATAGGAATGATGGAAAATTTGATGTTAATCCTATCACATCTTTTTAATAGAAAAAAATTACGAACTGTTGACCGAAGTTTTTATAATGAAATATTAAAAAAATATCCATCAAAGATATTTTTAGAAAAACCGCCTAAAGAAATTCGTGAAATTTTGAAGCAACACAATGAACGTATATTAGAAATTTATACGGATTATGTTATAGCATTTACAAGACAGAATCTGACCAATCTGGGGCCAGACAATCAGTTACCACTTTCAAAATTCGAATTTCCTCCAAAACAACTTGAAGAGAATATTCAACAAGAATGGGATTTAACTACAAATTTGAATTCCATGGCTATTCCTTTCAGTGCTCGATCACCTTTTATCGCAATGTGTGGATCTATTGGAGATAAATTTCTTAATATTGAAGATTTATGTGAACATATACATCACAAAATTTACTTGGATTTGCATAATATCCCTTATATAAAACTTAATGAAAATCTTAATGCATATTTGATGGATTTCTTTAGTCATGGACAAGAAAAAACTCTTCATCTAGCAAATGGCATACGTCCTGGTGAAGTTTGGCAATGTAATGTGTTATTTTATTTAATTTGTATTAACTATATATATGTATATATATACTGAGATGTTAACCTCTATTAATATTTTATTAATAGGTTTAAAAGATTTTGACTTTGTTCTTCAAACAATAGTTACATCATTGGAAGTTCGAAAGGTTGAAGATGAGGCAGATGTTTTAAATGGGTTTAAGATGGTTAGTGAATATTTTAGAGAAAAATTTGTCAAGATGTGGGCCTAAATTGATATTTAGCATGAAGTTTATACAATATACAGTAGTTGCTTTTGATTTTTAGTATCTTTGATATATGTTTTATCGTACTTTAATAAATACTAAACTATACTGTATAATAAAGATAATATTTTCGTCCTTTAATAGTAATCATAACAGACAACATTTGTATTCACAAATCTTATATAAATTCAAAGATGTGGTAAAAATTAGTAATCAGTTACTGATCGGTTACAGATCGCACTGGTAAAAAAATTATATTTTAACTAAATAATAACCAGTAATATTAACTTATTTCTATATATTTACTAGGTAATATATGCATTTTAATATATTTTTAGTCAATATGTTTAAATACATATATTATCTAGTAAATATATAGCAAATAAGCTAATATTTGTACTATATATTACTGGTTAATATTTAGTTAAAATATAATTTTTTTTACAGTGTCG